CCATCATAGAAATGAAACTTCTTTGGGCCATTGCAAAATACGTTATTCTACTGCCTCCCACAAAGAAATGAGGGCTGTCCATTGTCAGGGCTCTTCTTATGGGCTAGTTTTAAGGAAAACTGAGGTGCACAGAATTTCAAAGCTTGAAATTTCTCATAATGGCATGAGATGTCCATGTTCACCTTGTGACAAAAAGCTGCCACTAGAGTGAGACTGCCATCTTCAAACTGCACTGTCCACTGTCACAGAAAGGATCGCAGCCCTGAGTATATGAATATTCTCCAATTAAAATAATGAAAATGCTTTCAGTTGGGGCATTGGAAAGGGTGGAACTGAAGAGCTGCAATGACAGGAGAGCCCCCAACAGGGTGATGCAACAAGAGTGTTGGAGAAACACATCTTGTCCCTCCTGCCTACACACCGTGTCTGCACAGCTTTGCACAACTGGTTCCACTTGGAGACTTCAGCCAAGACCAGAAGCTCTTATTTTTATGGCCCAGTGAGCTTTCAGGGAACTACTCTTCAAGTAATTCCAGAGCTAAAGGCCCAAGGACAAGAGGATATGCACAGTATTTTGTGGATATGCACAATGCCTTTCTTTGGAAAGGAGCTAAAATCTTTTACTTTCATGAAATCTAAAAGCATCTGACTGGAAACTAAGGTATCAAAAGAAGTTCTCACTGAACTGTACATATAAAAATGTATTTTACAATCATTTGCTGGCCCCAAATTTCTAAAAATGCTTTGCTTCCTGGTTTTTGAGTAAGAAGTACAAACATCATTTATTTTGTCCCTTTCTATATTACAATGTACCTACCTACCATCTCATTCACATTATGCAGATAAAGTGAGTTATAATAGTTAAAGAAAAGGAAATTACTTAAACTGAGCTTTTCTTTAGTAATAAAAGATGCTCATCATTTGGCTACCAGGATGGGCAAAAGTATCACAAATTCTTGATAAAATGAGACAAAAGAACAAAAAGAGATTTTCTACTGTTTGTGGGTAGTGCCAGGCAGCTCTTGTTAGGATTTTCTGTATTTTAGCTGCCCAAGCTGCTGAGCACGAAGAATGCATCTTATTCATTTTTGTATCGCTTGGGCATAATGGTAGGACCTTAGAGTCATATGGCATCTTAGACCCCATTCACTTTAAACCCCATCTTATAAGTGAGGAAACAGAGAACCAGAGAAATAAGAAAGTCTGCCCTCACAAATATCCTCTGATAGAATGGAGGATTTGAACCTGGTTTCCTGACTTCCAGATCATATCCTTTAAGATTTTTCCCAGTACTCCTACACCTTATCCCAGTCAGTTGGGGATAGTTGTGGTTTATACCTGTCGTCCTACTTATTTGTAAGAGCCTGGTGTCATTGTCCTGAGTGGCTCAGCATGGGTGAAACACTGTCAGGTTAACTTAATTATATAATATTGCTCTTTCTTCTCATAGGTAATAAGGGAAGAGAGTGGAAATACTGGTTTTCCTGCAGGTAGGTGGTAATCTGATGACTGTTTTGCTCAAGGCCTGACAGAACTTTGGAACTGAGTCTACTGGAGAGATAAAAGTGTTTACAAAATGAAGGGTCAGGATCAGTGTGGTCACTCTGCTCTCTAGGGCACGGAGGGGAAGCCCTGTGCTAACACCAGCTTCCTACCTCCTGATACTGCCATGTGACAGCGAGTCAGGAAGGTCACATCTCAGTGTCATGCACACGCGGAGGAGATGCGGGGGGGACTGCCGCTACATGAAACAAGATGCATTTGTTCTGCAATATAAATTCCCATTGTGAAATTATGAACATCTGAACTGCTGAAGTTGGCGGCTGGTGAAGTGAAGTCCTGGGGGCTGAATAAAGCCTTGTGTTTCTCTGCCACTCTTTGCATCACTGTGCCAGGCTGCTCAGGAGCCGAGAGGCGCCTCCTCTGGAGGGCCCTGTTCTGCCATCCATGTATACGGTACGCATCCCCAAACCAACACTGGAGATCTGAAGTGACCCCAGGTCTGAAATCTGAGTGCCAAACCTGACCCACAAGTGGACAATTCCACACCCAACTTCTCGTGACAGGGTGCCGTCAAAAAGCACATACTTTAGTAAACTGTCACAAATCACAACTTTAAAAATCCCATGTAAGATGATCTGTTGTCTGAAAGCGTAAAGTATATATAAAACATGAGTGAGTTTCATGTTGAGACATGCCCTCTCCCCAAGGTCTAACTATGTACATGCAAATATCCCCAAATCTGAAACATGTTGGATCCTAAGCAATCTCGGGCCAACACATTTTTACATGTACCCTTACTTATGTAAAATAAATTGAGAAAGTAACACCTGATAGGTATAATTTCTCTATACAGGCGCTTTGAAAGAACCAGATCTTTCTGTGTGGTAACATACGTCCACATCCATCACCTATTACCTTCACAATCAAACAGAACAGCACTGATTCTCAAGACAATCC